TATATAGGTTTTTACTTAATTGATTGGATCTCCAAGTTCATAAGAACTGCTTGCTCTGCCCCAAACAGATTTAGTGGGTGTTTTGCTAAATGATGACATTTGCTTTTCCAGGTCAACTTGGATTCATTTGAACACCCAATTATGTGCAGAAGATTTCAAATTTTTTTTTTATTAAACTGACTGACTAAAGTGGTTACAGATCCACGAGGCCAAGTAAAAAATATACTTCTTTAAATCAATCCCTTAATCCCTGAAATTTGACTGGTATCTTAAGAAATATTTTCATAAATGAGACGCAGAATTTGTAGCTATTTATAATAAACAGCAAAATAGTTAGTGTAAATACACCTTGTGAAACCTATTTTGCCAATATTTTTGTCAGTTTTTAGTTCTAAATAGAAGTTTTAATTTCCGACTGTCGTAAACAAATATAGAAAAGTAAACGGATTGCATAAAGAAATGTTTTAAAAAAAAATTATTTCACCTTCAGAAAATTCCTTCTCTAGCTGCCCTGAATTGAAAATGTTTGATTACTGGAATTAATTATAAGCAAAAATTTAGGCATAAAAAGGTAAAAATCCCAATTAAATGACAGAGTCTATCCACATAAAAAAAAAAGTTGGTTACAGGATGTTCAATATAAGAAACAGTGAAATATCAACTTCATCCTTTAAGCAGACCACATTGTATGGGCTGGCAGATACATACATGGAAGCAGTTTTAGAAATGTTAGAGCTAATCAAACAGCAACAGATTATTGTCTTACAAATGCCTGCAGAAGATTGAGGAGAAAATAATTTCCCCTTTTTTTTAGCTGAAGCTGAAATATGGAATATTACGGATGGCTTTTTTTTTTTCCTCACAAAAACTGGAGAAAAATAAACTCTCTGTTTTTTTGTATCACAGATAGGGACAATCACAGTAGTGCACTCTGAATACAATTTCAGCTTTCTGATCTGTCTTCGTGAAGACATTAGATTCAGTTCACTAAACTATAACAAGTGTTATTTGCCATAACGACTGCTATTTTCAGGAATGGCAACCAATGAGAACTTAAAATGAAAATCACATGGCTAAAAACTAAATTTAAAAAAATGCTAAAGTAAATGACACAGGTGCTCTAACTTAGTGAATTGAGTAAATTGAACTCAGGGCAGAAAGGAGAGGGGAGCTAACATCTGCAGAGAAATATCAGAATATAATAGATCACACTACCTTAAAGCTTGACCAATATGCCAAAAGCTTAGGTGGAAGGACCTAGATAAAATGATTTAGCACATACATTTGACCAAATTGACCAAAGCACATACATTTGACCAAACTGACCAAATTACTTTTATTATCCTCCCCTTCTCAATAGAAGGGAACGTTGCAAGAGAAGTGAATACAGAACTGTGCTGTCATAAAAAAATGTATATACTTCTTAAACTTTAACTTATGAAAAAATTCTGACCATGATGTTTCATTGAATGCCATTTCACAAATATACAGTACATGGCATAAGCCAACAATGATGATTAAATCTATTTGCTATTGAAAAATGTATCACTTGTTGGCAGTCATCTCATCTGCAGCACAATAAAATTGCTATCATGCTTATAAGAACATTTCCAAAAAGCAGTTAAATCTATAAGTAGTAGAGACATTTAATCGCCTATGTCGCGCTGGACCTAGAGGGACTGTAGTCTGTGAAACATAAGAAAACTGCCAGGTGACAAATGATTTCATGTAAGTAGCTTCTGTAGTTTAGAAGAAATGTAGAATGGAATAACTATCCTTTTGAAAAAGTAAAACCAGTCATTAGTATTTTTTAAACTGGTCTACAGATGAACTAATTTATACATTTTAACTATGTGCAATATACTTTTTGTCAAAGTCTGAATTTTGTATTTAAAAGAAATATTAAACTGCTGTATTTTGTGCACACTTACACTACACATTGGAAAAAAATATGGAGGTGCATGCACAGGACCTTGGTGATAAACACACACAGAGACCTGTTTCTGCTTATGGAAGGGACTAACTGGCCCTTGCAGCAGAGAACTGGTAAACACAATAAGGAAATCCAGCATGTACTCACAATACATAACTAAGAGATTTGCCCAAACGCAGCAAAGAAAGTGAAAAAAAGGAGGAACATTTGAAGGAAAGGAGAAAAGAAACAGTAATTAATTAAAACTGAAAGAATTCTCAATGTACCTTAAAACAAGATGGAGATGCAAATTCTCCAGACTACTACTACCTTCTGCCATTCATGTTGAATTAGAAACTGTTAATGCAGCATTTAATACAACCTATTAATTTCCCTAGAAATAGATTGTGCACTGAATAAAAAGGAAATTGTAGCGTTTCTAAAGCCAAAGCTTTTTATTTTTAGGTTTGTATAGAATGGTGAGGCTTTGGGAGCACTGTCATTTGTGTATTGCTGTATGTTCCAAGTTAGGGAGATTCACTCTCTCTTTGTCTTGGTGACCCTTGTCATTGCACACAAAATCAGCAAAAATGGGGAGACTTGTTTTGGTGATGTCTCTTTAAGGGGAAATGTCCTAACTTACTGTTGTGTCTACTGGACAGAAAATAAAAGGGAAAAAATTACACAAATGGCAAAAAACCCCCAGAAGTTTTAGACATTGTCTACTCTATCCAAAATGAAAAAGAAACATTTTGGCTTTAGCTATACTTGAACTATTTTTGTACCATCACCCACATTTTATAGTACCCCTATAATTTTAAAACCCCTAAAATTGTTTATTACTACACCTCTCACATGTTTCATAGTGTGAGGCGGAGTCACTTAAATAGAAAGTGAGGGTAAATCTCCCCAGTGGAGACAAGAGACACAAATAAAAACCCCACAAAGGATCAACCCTTCACCACCATGCAATAAAAAAAATTTGTAATGGAATTGCGCCCTAGGGAAATCTGTGCTTTACCACTGCAAAGCAAAGCAACATGTATATTTATGGCTAGCTTCACTAGTAAAACATGTTCACTTTCATTTTCTCCACTATTGCTGTGTTTGGCCACCTGAAGTGAAGACAGGATGCCATTTGTGAGCTCCTCATGGCCAAGGACTCACTCCCCACCCCCATATGACAGCATTGGGCACTAGAATAGGCAAACACAAAGTACCAGCGCTATCACATGGGAGGAAGAGAAGTGAGTCACATTCTCCTCCATACCTGGAAATACTGGGTATTTTTCTTCCTTCCGAATGGTTGAACAGAACAAAAGGAAAGGAATATGCTACTGGGGCACTGTTGCTTTGTTCTGAATGGGCAAACGCACAGCTATGCTTTAGAAAATAAAAAATTAATAACTGGGGTATTCTAAGAACTGACTTTTAAAATCAGGTTTACTTTTCAAATATGCATCTACAATAAACCTGGTATTAACAATAAGTGACAGTTTTTCTTTTTAAATGCTCTTAATAGACAACTAACACATAAAGAGTGCTGGCATCAAAGTACAAAGTTGGTTTCCCCACCATTTGCATTCCTTCTGGAAAGTGGCTATCATTATGCAAACAGGAGATCCACTAACCAGCATTCAACACTTTATATACTAATGCTGAATCCAAACGCAAAAAAAACCCCAAACACTTTTTTTTATTAAATATGATTTTAAATAAGATTAAATATGCCTATACATATCTGTTTTTGTAGTGACAGTTACATAAAAAGAAAACAACGTAGTAATCTGAAACAAAATTACTTTTTTTTCTAAATATGTTTAACTTTGTTTACAATAAACTAAGATTGTTTTACCCACCTATGCTGTGCACACAACACAGACACAGTCAAATTTCATCTGCATTTTTCTTTTTTACATATTCTGTTAAGGCTTCATTAACTTAAACCCTATTTCATTCTTCCTAACAGTATTGTCATGCAGTATTGAAAGTGGATTTGGGATATTAAAATATTGTTATTTAAACATGAGATTGATTTATTAAATAGTTTAGGCTGTTCACTGAGCAAAGAAAAATTTCACTTAGCTTAGTGAATGTGGTGAAAATCCATGGCAAAGAGAGCTCCACTCCTCCCTATGTATGGACAACTCTCCTTTAAAAATGTGTCCATCCTGTATCGCTTACCCTTCACTCACCTACACCACCAGAAGGGTAGGCGATACAAGGAGAGATGTCCATACAAAGGGAGGAGTGGAGCTCTCTTTGCCATGGGTAGGGTACCCAGGACGACTGAATAATTGAGGGCACCTCTTCAGCTCCCTTGTGGCTCTATAGACTCAATTTTATATTTCTTGAGGTCTGATGAGGATATATAGTGAGCAGTACCATTGCTCCTATCAATACAGAACCATTTATGGTATTTTCAAGAAAACTATCTATGGTGTTTTTACATCAGCGCCCATGATAATGTAAAAGATAAATTATACGGAAGATTCTACGACTCAGGGGCGGAAATACCGCTGATGCAGCCGCACCGGGGCCTGAGACTGTGGGGGGCCCAATGAGGTCCGGTCCTGGGCACCCCCCCCCCCGGTGGAATATGCGGCAGTGCAGGGTCCCGGGATGTGTGTGTCACATGCCCCGCCCCCTGCAGTGCACCCACAGTATGGCTCCGGTCCTGCGCTGGCTGGGTAAGTCTTAATCAGGGGGGTGAGGGGAGGGGGGCGATGGCGAGGGTTGTGTGCAGTTATTTCATTCAATTAGAAAAGTGGATTATAATAGGGAACATAACGCTGTAATGTTCCCTATTATAATCTATTTCTCTGATTAAATGATTACAGACAGGCCTCTGTTCTATCAAAGTTTGTGACTATGTTAGAATGTGTGACCGGTCACGTGGTCACACATTTTAACCCAATCCCGCCCTGTTGTTCGGCGGTGGAATGTGTGACCGCCAATAGGTCAAGCATTCCAACGCTTTCTCAACTGTTCCAGGGCAGATTGGCATCGCAGATGGTATATGGAAGTGTTGACCGCCAATAGGTCAAGCATTCCAACGCTTTCTCAACTGTTCCAGGGCAGATTGGCATCGCAGATGGTATGTGCAGGAGAACCGATCTGCCCTGGAACAGCTAATCGGTCCTGAAATGTCACTTCTATACGACTTTGTGAGTGGGGTGGAAAGTGAGATTGCAATCACAGAGTCGGATAGAAGTGACATTTCAGGACCGATCAGTTGTTCCAGGGCAGATCGGTTCTCCTGCACATGCGAT